TCCCCTGGACCATTATCCCAGTGCAATATCTACTTTACCGACAAGCCAATTCCTAAAAGCAAACCTCTAAATGTCATTTTCTAGCCAGCACCCAGGTTAGACCGGGCACCAGATCTGGGCTAACCCTCCTCCTTGGTAAGACCGGGGTGGTTTTTGCCCCTAGCCTGGGGAACACGAGAGCACGCTCAGCCTAGGGAACCCCTGCCATCCAGGGGCCACCGGGAATGGAGACCTCCTGGCTTTGCTCCTGTTCCCTGCCTGCGTGCCTGGAGGGATGAAATGCTTTAGCCTTTGGGCACCTGAGCAACAGCAGGTCTGACCCCTGGAGCGGTCTCGTCAGGACAGTCCAGGGCAGGAGAAACTCCTGCCCCCAAATCTTCCCAGGCCCAAATGCTGGAGCAAAAGCACCCTCAGCCCCAGGTGCCCAGGGTGACACAGCAGTGCCCTGACCCCCCCAGGTTTATTTCTTCATGCAGAATCAAATGCAAAGGCACCTGTTTGATCTCCTGCGCTCTGATGTATTATTCACAGCTCCCAAATGCTGCTTGCTCTCTGCTCGGCAGCCTCCAGTGCGCCAGCCTGCCCAGCCCAGCTGGTCCCAGCTCGCGCTGCTGAGGGAGAGCGGTGGCGATCGGTAAGCACGCCGCCATCTGCCAGACCTCGCCGCCACCTGGGAGTCCTAGGGGATGGCCTGCCAGTCTGGATGCCCTGCAGGCTGCAGCCGGTGGGACTCACAGAGGCTCGGCGCGGGGGGGAGTTTGGACCAGCTCTCTGGTGAGAGCACACAGCATCCTCCCCTGTGCAATTAAATACCTCGGCCAGCTGGAGGAGAGGAAATGGAAATGGGAACAGAGCAAGGGACAAGAGAGAAAGCAAAGCACCTGCTATCCTGGAGCTGGGGCAGCCTCTCGGTGCTTGACTCTTTTGTCCTTTGCCCTGCCCTGACTTCACCGAGCTGCCCGGAGCCCAGCCCCAGCATCTTCCATCTGAATTTCTGACTGTAAGCAGCACACGATGAACCCGAGGCAGAGGAGGGCTGCATCCAGACATCCGCAGGCCCCTCGAGGGGCCCTGGCTCTGCCCTTGCTCTCTGCTTTTTTATTCCTCGAGTTGCAAAAGGTTTTGGAAGAGAAGCTTCTCTCCCGAGGTGCACGGGACAGCGGGGTGAAGGGGGCAGCAGGCCATTGGCACAGCAGCTCCCGGGACTGCCAGGAGCTAGCCTGCTATCTCAGTGGGCATGTCTACACGTGCACCGTTACTGTGCAGTAACATAGGTTACTGTGCATTAACCAAAAATGACTGTGCAGTATGGGTGCGTGTCTGCATGTGCGGGCCTGTACTTCGCAGTAACTATGGTGACTTACACCAGCGTGAGAGTAACTTTGCTACCTGCACGATGTAGGTAGAAAATTTACTCCTGAGTAGTTACTGCGCAGTAAGGCATGTGTAGATGTCTTACTGCGCGGTAACCCTGTTTGTGTGGATTGATGTGGGAGTAACGTTACTCCCAAGTCGGTGCGCACACAGCATTACTGCGCTGTAATGCCTATGTGTTTAGGCACTGGCCTAAAAATCTCTTACTGTGCAGTAAGTTACTGCGCAGTAAATGCAGGTGTAGACATGCCCAGTATGGCTGACAAGGCAGTGCACACGGGTTATTTCGGCACCGGCTGATATCCAGCCCCTGGAGCTCTCGGTGCGGATACACGCGGTCACGTCTCCATGCAGGGTGCAGGGAGGAGGTGTCTGCTCCCACCCAGGACCGGCTGCCCCAGGGCTCGCTCTCATGCGCAAAGTTAGATACAAGGCTAGAAGCGAGGAAGCTGGGAGCTGGAAAGGAAGCAGTAATGTATGCAGGGCAATGTGAGGAACAGCTAGCAAAGCCCTGTGGAGGCGAGTGTGGAAATGTTCACACAAGCACGCCTGGCTGCTTGCTGTGTACACAACAGGGCGGTCCATCGGGAGCACGGGCTTGAAAGCCGGCTCAGGCACGAGGAAAAGACGTTCTCCTACGGGAACCTCATCAAGGAGGGACAGGCATAGCCTGGAAGCAGGGCCTGATTGCACGAAGCAAGCCAATTCTCGTGAGGCTGAAATGTATTCGTGCCAGCTCTTGCTAGCCAGGGAACCAAGTCGCGCTGTCACAGTGAGCCTGCAGCCAAAGGTCCGGGGAGGGTCCCCCCGGAAATGATCTGCAACAAGACTTCCCAGCTCTCAGCCCCGTTGCTGCAGGACTTGCCTTCTCCTGGGCTTCTTTCTAGGGGGATAGCCTTGATTCAGAAGGGATGGAGACGGCCCAGGAGCAAGGATGACCAGCTAACTGCTACCGGGTGAATGCAAACCCTCCAGGCTCCCCACAGCAGGGGATGGCTGCACACCCTGTGACCTGCTCCATGCACACATGCCAGGTCCTTCAGCATCAGCTCGTGCTCTGGGGCGGGGGCCTTGCCATGAGCTCGATGTGCAAGTCACTCCGGGCAGTCCCGGATGGAAAAGGACAGAAGAGATGCCTGAATTCAGGCTGCAGACTCAAAGCCGGGGGAGCAGGCAGTGTGCACAGCAAGCACCCCTTGCAACGGCGCTAATGGTACCAGGGACCCACCCAGTGCCTGGCACATCCATGTCTTCCTTCAGGTCCGAGTGAGAGGGAGCGTCCCTGGCACTTGGAAGCAGGCCCCGCAAAGAAGTGGATGAAGGTTAACCGCTGACTCTCCGCCCCATGCAGCTCCTCCAAAATCACCAGCTTCCCAGCTCAGTATCTCGCTGCAATAAAACTCCCTCCGGCAAATGATGTGACTTCCTCCCCAGCTGCCAGGGGCCTCTCATGTTTTATATCACCCACAGTCTTACTAACTCGTTCAGCTCAGGGACACCAGAGATCCTGCTTTAATCGCACTGAGATGCTGGCAGTCGACAGGAATCTGCCGCGCTGTGCCTGCTGAGTTCAGCATCGGGGGAAGGTACCTAGGATCGATGCCCCGTGCTCCCGGGACCACGGCAGGTTTGTTAAAGAAGTGCAAGGATGGCAGTGTTTCAGCCTGGTTTGCTAAGAGCAAGCCCCCATGGCTTGGCCGTGCCAGGCAGCCTCTCTGCACCCACTGGAGCAAGGTCCCTGCCAAGCGGCAGTCGAGTGCGAGATGCACCCATCTCTCATTGAGTTGCTTCAATGCTAAGTCCCTCATATGGACTTGACCAGCAGTGGATCCAGGAGGAAGCTGGCTGGCCTGACTCATGGGCAGTCCCATCCGTGCTTGGGGACGGCTGGTTTCCTGCAATGCAATGGACGGCGCATGTCACACCCGCATCTACTTGTGTCAGAGCAGCGATGGCAGGACGCAGAGCAGGGCCAGTCGTCCCTGAATGCTGGTGGCCACGGGGCAGTGGCTGCGGTCTCCCTTGGCCAGGAGGGAGCGGGCAGGAAGGGCGCTCCTGTTCAGTGCCCGGCCAAAACCTCCCTCTGCACCCGTGCAGCTCCACATAGACTGCATTTCAGGTGCCAGGCTTTGCTGCGTGCTGTCTGGCATACACCAAGTCCCCGGCATGCATCCCCTAGTCCATCACGGGAGAGGCTGTCTGTCATGCTGGCCACATTGCTTTCACCCCGCATGCACGTGGCACGGGCTCCACCCTTGCATAGGGCCCCCAGTGACCCAGAGAGAGGAGACCCCATCCCACCACGACCTGCTGCCAGCTTGGGATGGACACAGGAGGTTTCTCTATTAAAAGACTCTTGAAACCACTCAACCCCCGTTGCCCAGCTCTCCTCCCCGCGCAGACGCCCCCGGGAAGCCAGCTTGCCCGGTGCCTCTGCTAGCCGCAGCCCGGCCGAGGGGAGAGGTTAACGGCTCGCATTAGCCAGCAAACTAGGCAGAAAGATTTACATTTGCTGCAGAAGGAGGTTTTCCTTGGAGATGGCTTGTGTTTTCAGTACATTAACTAAATCCATTTCAGCCGGCTTCGTCGGCCCCAGCTCAAGCGCAGGCCTGAACGGGGAGTTGTAGCCGAGGCTTCCACACCCGCTGCGGGGCTGAGACTCTTGGAAAGGAGACCTGGGCCTGCTGCTGCCCTTCCATATACTGTGCCAAGGGCAGCCCCACCGCGCAGTGTCCAGCCGGCTGGGACAAGGTCAAGGTCCCTGCCCTGATGCTTCTAGCACTGTCCTTCCTCTTCCCTCTTGACAGCTCCTTGCTGCTGCCTTGTATCTCCTCTTCTCTCTCCTGCATGCAAAGGGGCCTGTTATCACCCAGCCGGCTCCTGGATGCTGGATGCTGGGTGCACTGGGCCACTCATCCTCCTGGTCTCATGCTACTGGTGACAGTTTTATGTGCGCTGGAGCACTTCATCTGAGCACCCCTGGTAGGAAGAATTGTTCAGAGCGTGCAACCAGACACCTGGCATAAAGCAGGGTAAACACTGGGCTTCCTAACCTTGACGGTTCCTTTTTAGTAGGACTTGAAGTAGGTGCTGGAAAGCTAAAGTACTGTTATTTCAGAGGAGACATTTATATAGCAGCTCTTAGTGAATGCTGGTGGGTTTATTATGGGCCCCTCATCATACTGACACATTGTGCAGCACGAGGTTGGAAGGCTGAATAATCATCCGGCACAAGAGAAATGTTATTATTTTGCCTAAAATGTCTGGTAATAAATAGGCCTGTATCCCGGTGAGGCTCTGGGGCTGCAGCTGGGATGTCGCTAGACTGGCATTGCAAAGCGCGGATGCAGGCGTCCGTCTCAGTGAGCTACTGCTTCTCACTGCTGCAGGGGCCAAGCAGGTCCTGCCCACTGGAAAGAGCTTTGCATTTCAGATGGAAACACTTGGGAGGCACCTCTCCTCCAGGCCTGGGAACTTTGAATCTGCAGAAAACCCACAAGCAAAATATGGGGTCGGTTGTCAAGTGCTTGCACCTGAATTGATTAAACCATCCAAGCTGGAAAGAAGTGTAGGCTCTGAGTGTTGGAGGTGGGGCAGAGAGGAGACCCGAGAGAGGAAATGAGTCCATGGCACCGTCATTCGTGGTGAAGGGAAATGCCCTTGCGGCATCGGAGAGCTCACGCGAGCGACAACGTGCCTATGAGCCCGTGCGGAGAGAGGTGAGTTTGCGGAGGGAGGCCGGGAGAGCACAGGCCAGGAGGGCGGCAGGGAAGAGCGAATGCCCAGAGCTAGATGCAGCAAACATCACCCCTGCCCTCAACATGCAGCTCAGGTTAGGAGCTGGCAAGAGACGTGCTGGGCCCCTGCAACGGGGCAGGCTGTGCCACCTGCACGATCCCCTTCGCCCATCGAAACGCCCCGAGCTGCACCCGCCGTGGCCCTGTCTGGTGACCGGCTTGCACCTGCTGTGCAGGGCAGGTACGTACCTTCCCCTGCCCTCCCACCTTCCCCTGAAGCGCCGGGGTCAGACCTGGGTCCGAGGCAGTGCGTGGGATGGGCTGGCGGTAGTATTGATGGATCTACTCTTAAATGGTTGGAGGAGTCGACTTTCTGAAGTCATACGCAAGAAGAAGGATGGGCCGCGGCACTTATACATGGCACAGAGCGTGTCACAAGTGTCACTCACATGTGCCCCACTCCACCCCACGGGTATCTCCTGCCTGCCCCGAACACGTCTGGCTGCAGAGGTCGTGTCGAGTTGCTTTCCGCCAGCCCCGCGGTGCTCCACCTTCCTTCCAGCTCCCACCCTCGGTCTCCGTACCCTGCCTCCTTCACTGGAGCTCCCCACTCCCAAATCTCTCCTCTCCGAAGTGCCGGCTCTGCCCCATCAAACGGAGACCTCAGTCCCTGCGCCCCGTTCCCCGGCTGGCGTGGCTAGGCTGCGGGCTCTCTGGGACACCGGCTGCCCCCTTTTCAAGTGATTTAAAGCCTCGTGCACACTTCTGCTGCCCTCAAAATGTTTATTGATAAGAATAAATTCCAACTCCTGGGAACGGCGCGTTTGCAAAGGGCGCCATGAATATGCATGAAGGCCGTCACATATAAATAAGCAGCAATATGACTTCACGAAGTCTTCCAAAGTAATAAGCTAGAGGAGGCCTAATCCCCCCTTAAACAACCATTGGGCTTTAGGCTGAGAGTGGAGCCACCACGGGCACCAGCGACCTTGTCGGGAGCCTAGGCTACGTCTGCGCCCAGAGGAGCTACGTACGGTGCAGCGGGCAGACCCAGGGGCACTTGCTGCTTAACGAAGGATAAAGTTAAGCCAGAGCAAGCCCAGCATAGAGTAGCAGCACTGCAAGATAGATGCCAGAAGGGCACTGACGTCTGAGAGGGCCACGAGACTTTTGCCGGAGACCCTTCATTCTCCGTCTCGTGGTTTTAAAGGCATTTGAAAGAAAAACCTTTAAAAAGAAGCGTCTCCAACAGCACAAGGCAGGAGCAATTCGTTGCTTTCCCCAATTCTGCAATCCCTCTTTGCTGAGATCGGAAACCCAGTGCAAGGTGCGGAGGCCCGTGCCGGGCCATTGATATGAGATGCAATAAGTAAAAGCCGGCAGTCTCCTGGCGGGAATATCAATCATGGAGTAAGTCCGGCGAGTGCAGACATAGGTAGGAAAGTCTCATTAAAGCAGGTGTTTTATTTTGCTTCTCTCCATACATCAGTGGAGGAGGGCCAACATTTTGGCTGATTTGCCTTGCTCCGAAATAGAAGCACAGTAAGATCGAGGGGCCGGGGAAGGGCAAAGCTGGGCCTGGATGCCTTGCTCTGCCCTTCCCTGGGAGTTTCTCTCTTGCCTAACATGGGTCTAACGTGACGCCAGATTGTGCATACAAACAACACTGTGGGACGCCGACAAGTCTCTGCCAACGTACCCCTGAAATCGCCACTAGAAAGAGCTTCAAAACTTCTGTATAATGAAACGCCCAGTGAAATACAGTCATATTCCCATCCTGCCCCTTAAACACGACCCATATACAGCACGGTCGAATATACTGCACCCTGAATACGAGACCCAAACCCAGAGCCTGGATGTCACAGTAATGAAAAAGCCATGCCCCTCCAAAAACCCTGGGACAGCAAGTCACTTATCTGCTGTCATCACTCGATGGCATGTGAAAGAAGCTAGAAAAGTTGGTTTTGGTGAGAACTTAAATATTGGATCGCTGACATCTTCTCCGGATTTCCAGTTCCCACCGTTCAATATTTTTAGCTGCTTGAACAGCGCAGCGCTTGTTATGCCAACACCTGGCTCATAGGAACAGGAACGATGGAACAGGACACGCTGGTTATCAACATACACCGTGCTTGCAAAATATGATGCTATTCCTGGAGCAAACAGGATCAAAGCGAGGCTCCGGAAATAATTCTGATTAAAAATATACATGAAAAAAATAGGAGTTTCTCTCTAAGGAGTGCCCAACACCATCCAGGCATTCATTTGGTAAGCCTGGAAATACACAGGAGGTCATTAATCAGTGCTATTGGCCCCATTTTACCGCTGGGCAGACTGAGGGGTAGAGAGGCCGGGAGATTTGCTGAAGGTTGTGCAGAGTCAATGGTGGAAGATGATGCTAGGGTCCAAACCCTCATGCAGCGCCATTGGGTGGGGAAGCCCTGCTTTATGGAGGGTCAGCAGCGTGCCTGGAGGCACAAAGGCCCAGAGAAGTGGCCCATCGGTGAAGCAGGGCCAGCTTCACATCTGCAAAATTCATCTGGGAGGATGGAGGAAGGAGGGCTTGGGTTGTGCCCCTCAGCTCAGGTGCAGCTCTACTTGTCCCACCAGGGCTGGAGGCCGGTTTTAGGCCATGCCCTGACCCAAGAGCATGGCATGGCAGGGACGTCTCTGCTCCAGCTGGCTGGGAGGGATGTGGTGAGTTTGGTCCATACAGGTCAGCTCAGGGGGAAGGGGAACCAGCATCACCCCTGCGTGCAAGAAAGGACAGTGCTGGGATGCTCCCCAGGTGTTGCACAGACCTGCACGGGGACTGCGATGCTCCTGACATGAGGAGCCGGGGGACCCAGCACTGGCTGGGCAGCTGTCACTAGAGGCCCTGGCGTGGCCGGGCTATAGCATCCCCCTCGTGGAAATAAAGGAAAGATCGATCTTCCAGGCCTCTTGGAAGCTGGGCTGCTTCCTGCAGCTCCGGCCATCTGTGACGGCTGCACTACACAGGTTGCTGCAGGGCTGGAGCAAAGATCCCCCGCTGGCTGGGCAAGGAGAGAGCTCGCGTCCCTGCCTTGCAGAGCAAGAAATGCAGCTTCCTCTTCACTGCCTCAGCTGCCTTTCACTCTCTTGGCTATGGCACGACTGGCCTGAATACAGTGCGGAGCAGCAGGGAGCCTGAGGGGGAGACTGGACGAATGCCTGGCTTCCCCTCTCCTGAGGAGCCCGCGAGGTCCGATTGTTGCTGAAGCCAGCGATCCTCAACCTTTCTAGATCCGAGGCGCCTCTTGGCAGAATGCAAAACGCCAGCTCTCAGCTGTCACTCTTTTGTGGCATACCGAAAAACAGGAGCGCGGTTCTTCCATTGCAAAGATCTCCCATCACAGCAGGGCGGTGGGTTTCGAAGTCTCTGCATGCATTTTGCATTCTCCATTTATTCTCTGTGTTCATCTCCCTGCTTGCACCCATTGCTGTGCTAATGTTGTATGGACACGTGAAGGGCTCTCGAGGCACCCCCCCACCCAGGTGCTGCGGCACCCTGCTTGAGAATCACTGGTTTGCTCAGATCAGAGTGATTAGCTCCAACACCCCAGCCCCTGCCCGCGCTCCCAACAAGGTCGCCTGCTCGGTGCATACAGGAGACCAGCTGCTAGCTTTGCTGCGGAACAGG